ATTTATGCCCCAGGGTAAAGTTGCAGGATTCTAATCTGGGTCGGTCACCGGGACCAGAGGTTTAATCTTCCAAGCTTTCGGAGTCATGCTGGAGCCCATCCTCCAGGAACTTCTCTCTACTAGAATGTGTATTTACTATACATAGAACAGGGGTGTGGAACCTTGGCTCTTTTATGACTGGTGGACTTCAACTCCCAGAATTCCTGAGCCAGCATGGTTCAGCTTGGAAACCTCTCCTTTTCCCCTCAGCATGGCTGGCTCAGGAATTCTGGGAGTTGAAGTCCACGAGTCATAAAAGAGCCAAGGTTCCACACCCCTGGCATAAAACAACCCAAAGCCCACATTCTGATAACCTGAAAACCCGGAAGACTAAAACCTCTGGTCCTGGTGACCAACCCAGCTTGGATCCTGCATTACAAGTCCCTTGTGAGAACTTTAAAAGGTGGGTTGAGGGGTTGGTTTTTTTTTAGTGTTGTCTTCCTGTTCTTTTCTAGCTTCCTTTTTGATATGAAATGGCCTCATGGGTGTCTTTTGCTCAATACAGTACAGGTAATCCTCGACCGTAACCATTTGTTACGTTCAAAGTGACTCGTTACCGTTTTTCACACTTGCAACAGCTGCAGCATCCTTGTCACATGATCAAAACTTCACGTGCTCGCCAACTGGCCTGCATTTTTGACAGTTGCACTGTCCCCGGTGTGTGTGTATGTCATGTGAATCGCCATTTCTTAAGTCCTAGTTGACTTCTGACAAACAGTCAATAGGGGAAGCCAGATTTGCTTAACGGTTGCATGATTCACTTAAGAACTGCAGCGATTCACTAAACCAGGGGTAGGCAACCTTGGCTCTTTTATGACTCGTGGACTTCAGCTCCCAGAATTCCTGAGCCAGCATGGCTCAGCATGGAAACCTCTCCCTTTCCCCTCAGCATGGCTGGCTCAGGAATTCTGGGAGTTGAAGTCCACGAGTCATAAAAGAGCCAAGGTTGCCTACCCCTGCACTAACCAATTGTGACAAAAAAAAAAAAAAAACGTCGTAAAATGAGGCACAACTCGCCTAACGACTATCTTGTTTAACAAGGGAAATTTTGAGCTCGACTGAGGCCATAAGTCAAGAACTGCCTGTATTATTTAAGCAATGACAAACCTCGAGTGGAGGCACCCAGCATATTCAGCAGAAATTCTGCAGAGATTCTCACTCAAATATTCCAATGTTAAAAAAAAAAATCTGCTTGAAAGATATTGCAGCAGAGAGAGTTCTAGTTCCCCACCTAGATAGTCTTATCTTTTACACAACTCGGTTTAATTTTTGTTACTTCCCATTTTTTTCAACCAACATGTCATTTTATCCCACTGGATTACATTGAGGGCTTGTTCAGCATTTTCTTCCTATCCTAAACAACTGTTCCCCAACATTGTTTTAATTTTGTAAGCCACCTGGATTCACCACATGTACATTGGGGGGAGGGGGCGCACATGAGTGTATTTAATAATTTAATAAAAAAATCTGTTCCCATAATGCCTCAGCCAGCGTGGGCATTGCTGAGAATGCTGGGAATTGAAATCCACAAATACCAAAGCTGGGATTTGCTGGAAAGAGTTTCAAAGTTTTTTGTGCCCCTGAACTCTTTCCAGCAAATCCCAGCTTTGGTATTTGTGGATTTCAATTCCCAGCATTCTCAGCAATGCCCACACTGGCTGAGGCATTATGGCAGAGAAAACCCCGTGCATCGGTAGCATTTGGGATACTAATGGCAAAATTGCAGAAATATAATAGGAAGTGATCTAGAAAATTTTGAGGAGGAAGCTAAGATAACATGAAGCTTTGAGTAGAGTTGAACAATTCACACAGTATGCTGAGCCCAATCCAGTCATTGTTTATCATGCTAACTGCTTCCGTTCCTTCCTTCCTTCCCTCCCTCTTTTCCTACTTCAGGTGTCAAAGGAGATATAAAGTTACTCTTCACTTCCAGAAAAAAATATCAACCAATAATTTCAAGAAAAAAAAACTAGCCCAGAAACTGAATAATAAATGAAGTTCTCGATCTGATTAATTGGACAGCAATTATGCCAATAAGCGCAAAAAAAAAGTAACCCTATGTAACTACAGCTTGCTAGGTGACTTTGGACTAGTCATTCTTGGCTCATCTATCTTTCATGGTGGTGGTTGTGGACAAACACAACCCCTGGGGCTTGTACTGCACTTAGATATACCGTATGCACACACGCCAAATAAAGAGCATTAATGCTAAGACTCATCCCAAGAGTGATCTCTCTGCAAAATGACTTGGTAAGTGGCCGGTATTCAAATAAAAGTTGCAATCAGAAGATCAGGAGAATCCCCTTATGGGCAATTTATTAGAAAGCATGGAGTAGGAATTAATGACGTTTGTCATTAACAAGTAGTCCTTGACATATGACCACAATTGAGCCCAAAATTTCTGTTGCTAAGCAGGACAGTTGTCAAGTGAGTTTTGCCCCATTTTACCACCTTTTTTGCCGCAGTTGTTAAGTGAATCACTGCAGGTGTTGAGTTAGTAATATGGTTGCTAAGTGAATCTGGCTTCCCCATTGACTTTGCTTGCCGGAAGGTCGCCAAAGGTGATCACATAACCCAGGTAAGCGCAACCATCATAATTGAGTCATTGACAAGCACTTGGTTTTGATCACGTGACCATGAGGCTGCTGCAACAGTCATAAGTATGATACACAGTCACAAGCCACACTTTTCCAGTGCTGCTGTGACTTTGAATAGTCACTAAATCAGTGGTTCTCAACCTGTGGGTCGGGACCCCATTTGGGGTCGATCGACCATTTCATGGGGGTCGCCAAGCAAGGCTGTCTGCCATTTTTTTTGTCCGCCATTTTTCCCCCTTTTCCGGCGGGTGCCTTACCTCCCTTGGGCTAGGCCAGCTGGTGGTCGGCCTGCTCGGTCTCTGCCGCTTTCCAGCTATGCCTCGGCCGGCGCAGGGGGCGGAACCACACATGCGCGGCGCTCCCGGGCAGGGAAAGTCCTTGACTTACGACCGGTTGGGTAGCCCTCGACTTATGACCGGTTTAGTCCTCGACTTACGACCGGTTTAGTCCTCGACTTACGACCGGTTGGGGTTGCGGCATTAAAAAGATTGAGAACCACTGCACTAAATGAACTGTTGTAATTCGAGGACTACCTGAATACAAAACTGTAAATGGTGTGCACACTGCATTCCTCCATCCCCAAATATAGGCACCTGGATTCAGAGAGATGTGGATAAACAATGAGGTCAATCATGTTTATCAGGGGTCTTCAAACTTGGCCCTTTTATGACTTGTGGACTTCAACTCCCAGAATTCCTCAGCCAGCATGCCTGGCTGAGGAATTCTGGGAGTTGAAGTCCACAAGTCATAAAAGGACCAAGTTTGAAGACCCCTGATGTTTATGGATAGCACTTTTATGTACGTAGTGGTATTGGTCACAAGCTTTAGACTATGGTTTGTGTAACCCGATGTCCTGATTTTTGCAACACTTTGCAAAATTGGTGTTGTGTGCAAACTAGGCCATTTGAACTGCATTGGTGTTATGTGCAAACTAGGCCATTTGAACTAGTATGATATGTGAAGTAATCCACAGGCCAGGAAAACAAAGAAAAGGGGAATTTGGTTGGTTTAATTGTGGCCAGTGCAACTTGCTTGATACAAAGATACTCCTGATTTAAAAAAACACACACTTATGTTAAATCAGTCAACATTTTTTTAATGGAGGCCTCTTATGTCATGCAAACAATTGAACAAATTAGGAAAATCAAATACAAGGTTAAATCATTATGAAGTTATGATTAAAATAATACAGCCACCAACATTCTTCTCCCATGCCAGATACAATAGTATGTTATGAAAGAAATGAGGAACGGAGTATGACTTTCAATATTTTAGCACTAGCTTCCTTTCCATGTTTGATTTTTCCTTTGATGTTTGGCCTGCTTTTGAATTTGTAGCAGGGCAGGGAGGAAAAATGGGGCATCTGGTCCTTGGAAAAATACCTTGCTCAAAATATATCTCATACCATGCGTTCTTGTGTCTAAGATTGTGGATTTCCAGAGAGGGAGAAGATGCGTATCCAGCATCTTGCGTGTACTCAGGAGAAAAGGGTAGCATCTAAAATCTGATTTCTGAGGACTGCAATGTCAGTCAAAGTCAAAAGGAGAATGTTTCTGGGGACACAATTAAGGGCTCTCCATCTTGGGGTGGCAGGGTGGACAAAGAACCAAACCAAAAGATCTCAGTAAGCTTTTAAGGACTTTTCTTGGTTAGATCGTACACATTTTGGACCCAAGAATGCTTTGACGTAGGTCACCCATCAAAGAAATTTTGTACTAAATGATAGGATGGGGAGGGAGAGGAGAAAAATGAAACCCAAGTCCTTTCTATCTGCAGGGGAGTTGTGTTCTGCAAAGAAAATCACAAAACCATGGGATTTTTCAGGTTCACAAAGAAGTGAACCTCAAAAATCACATGGCTTTGTGTTCGATAGTTATGAGAACAAAAGCCCACCCTGAAGCCTTTATAAGCCCTGCCATCTCAACATGCATTAATTAAAAGTGGTCAATGCTATCCAATTATGGTCCATTCCCCAAAATCTGCTTGGTCCTTGGAAGACAGAAGCATCTGGATTTGGGGTGGGTCAACAACGTGTGCACACCAAACTAATAAAAGACCAGCTGTTAATGGATCCTGAGGAGATAAAAAGGGTTGGGAATGAGAGCCACTTTCAGAAGCAGCTGTTGCTTTTTCAAAATATATAGGAAATCATCGTTAAAAAAATCTTTTTTAAAACCCTCGATTAGAAAAGCCTCACCAAGAAGTTCTGCATCCCTGAGTGTAAAAGAAAGACGGGCAAAAGCCTAAGCTTTGGCCTCTTCTTCCTTTCCTGAAGGATAACAAATCTAAGAAATAGAAAGAAAATGGCTGGAGGACCTCCCTGAGATTAAAAATTAAGACGCCGAGGTTGGCTAGACAGGCTCCTCAGGTGGAATGCATTGGGTGGCCCATGACAGCCGAGGTGGGAGCGATAAAAACATCTCCTTCGTGGAACTGAGGCACGTAAACGGCAGCAAAGGCAGTCGTGTTGTAGCCCTGGGGTGGTGGAGGCAGCTGGTGATGGATGGGGCCAAGCCCGTGGGGCGGAGCTTGGTGTGGCCCATGGGGGCATGCTTGGGGGACGGTAGGACCATCGCACTCATCCCGAGACCCAGCTCCTGTGTTGCGCTTGCCCTTCTGGCGGCGGTTGCAAAACCAGACGCGTACTACCTACAGGGATGAGAGACGAGACAAAGCACGTGTAAGTTATAGCAAGAGCACTTAGACCAGTGGTTCTCAACCTTTTTAATGCCGCGACCCCAACCGGTCGTAAGTCGAGGACTAAACCGGTCGTAAGTCGAGGACTAAACCGGTCGTAAGTCGAGGACTTTCCCTGCCCGGAAGCGCCGCGCATGCGTGGTTCCGCCCCCTGCGCCGGCCGAGGCGTAGCTGGCAAGCGGCAGAGACGGAGCAGGCCGACCACCAGCTGGCCCAGCCCAAGGGAGGTAAGGCACCCGCCGGAAAAGGGGGAAAAAATGGCGGACAAAAAAAATGGCGGACAGCCTTGCTTGGCAACCCCCATGAAATGGTCGATCGGCCCCAAATGGGGTCCCAACCCACAGGTTGAGAACCACTGACTTAGACTTACTGTATATACTGCCCCATAGCACTTTACAGCGCTCTGGGTGGTTTATAATGTCAGCGTGTTGCCTCCAACAATCTGGGTCCTCATTTTACCGACCTCGGTAGGATGGAAGGCTGTGTCAACCGTGAGCCTCGTCAGTATTGAACTCCTGCTGTGGGCAGAGTTTGCCTGCAATACGGCATTCTAACCATTGTGCCACCAGGGCCTATGATAAAGCTGATATGTTGAGAGACAGAGGACTGCACTAATGCTCTCCACAATGGTCTTCTCCTCATAGTTCCTTGCGCAGCCCAACCTCTAGAGCAGGGCTCTTCAAACTTGGCCCTTTTATGACTTGTGGACTTCAACTCCCAGAATTCCTCAGCCAGCATACCTGGCTGAAGAATTCTGGGAATTGAAGTCCACAAGTCATAAAAGGGCCAGGTTTGAAGACCCCCTGCTCTAGAAGGACTCTACATCACCTGCCCAACGGTAGAAGAAAGTCTGAGGTTAATCTCTGGGCTTAACAACCCTAACATCTACTGAACAGGGGAGTCAGAGCGCTCTCAGATTTAGTTCACATCCTTTAAACGGGAGTCATGGGAGATTTTAAGAGACAAGGTAGAACCGAAGAAGCTTCTTGGGATGAGAAGTGAAATGTCTTCAAGCAAAACAAAGAAAAGTCCAGTTGCCTTTTGAAAAAGTAACTTTGGGACAGCCATGACCCATCAGATGAGATGACTGAGAATCTCCACAGATAAATGTTGAGGGTGACATCCCAGTTGGGTTTACGCAAGCTTGGTTTATTTCACCAGGTGGATCTTGGGTTTAATAAACCACCAAATGATTCAGTTTCCAATAAAGGAGAATATCTAGTTCAAACTTGAAATGAGGGGCTCCTTGGTGCTCTCTGAGCTTGGTTGTTTGCTTGCAGATGTTTCAGTACCCAAACTAGGTAACATCATCATATGGCCACTGGTGATGTTACCTAGTTTGGGTAATGAAACATCTGCAAGCAAACAACCAAGCTCAGAGAGCACCAAGGACCCCTCATGATTCAGTTTGCACCAGCTAAGCCAGTTCCCCAACCTTTTGGGGTTGGGAGCCCGGAGCAAGGGGGAGGGGGGAAAGAAAGGATGGTTTTGTGTGTGTGTGTGGGGGGTGTTAACGCATGTGCGCGTGCACACGAATACCCATTGCTCACGAGTGGGGGCGCATGTGGGGGCGACATTTGTGTGAGGCTGTGCACACGTGCGCACACACACGTGCACCGGCCAGCCACTCATGCGGCCCACAGGTTGGGGAGCGAAGCAATAATCCATGGTTTCCAAATGGCAATGGTTAGATTCACAGAACACCTCAAGCTTAACAGCAACCAACCATATGAATTGTACTGAAATGTGAAGCCAATGAAAACAGAGCATAAGAAAGCTTGTCAGCTTTCCAAAGGATTTAATATCTGCCAGTTTCACCCACCTCCGAATTGTGGTAACAATAAAGGTCCACACCAGAGTACTTTGGACACGCATCCGAATCAGACACAACATTTGCAGCTTGTGTACTCTGCCATTTGGGAATGTGCCACAGGGACTCAATAGCGCTCTCTGGGTTTTCCTTCCTTTCTTGAGGATTAGAATCCAAATCACTGGATGGCAGCAAATTGGGGGAGACCGTATAGTACATTTGAAAATATATACAGGAAGTCCTCGACTTACAAACACGAGTGAGGCCAAAATTTCTGTGGCTAAGTGAGGCAGTTGAGTGAATTTTACTCCATTTTATGATCTTTCTTGCCACAGTGAAACACTGCAGTTAAGCCAGTATCACGGTTGTTAAGTGAATCTGGCTTCCCCCATTGACTTTGCTTGTCAGAAGGTCGCAAAAAGTGATTCACATGACACTGCAACCATCACAAATATGAGACAGTTGCCAACATCTGAATTTTGCTCCTGTGATCACGGGGATACTGCGACAGTTTTAAGTGTGAGGATCAGTTGTAAGTCACTTTTTAAAATGTCCCTGTAACTTTGAACGAATGGCCCAAGGACTACCTTTTATCTGAAGATATCCCACTGACACCCAAGTATCCCAGGACCTAAATTATTTGTGGATGATGGAAGAAAGGAACTTGAGACTCAAAATACAAATGATTTCATCAATTGTGTCTTGTGCCAGTAGGGTTAGTGTTTAATTTTTAATTAGCATAATGCCAGCACATAAATGGGCACAAATGCAGCCACTCTTAGAATCATCATCATCATCATCATCATCATCATCATCATCATCATTGGAGCACCACTTGAACACCATTGGCATTGACAAATTCGCCATTAGTCAATTGCAAAAGGCGGCCTTACTAGGAACTGCTTTCATCCTGCGACGATATCTGTAATACCATCAAACATCCACATCTGCCTATCCCAGGTCCTTGGTAAGGACTCGATAGGTAGACAAAAATGCCAAATCCAGTCTGAACATCTGGCTGACTGTGCGATGATGATGATTATTATTATTATTAATAATAATAATAGTAATTAGTAGTAATAACAACTTTATTGTCACTTTGAATGTACACCAATCGACATACATCAAAATGAAATTTTGTTGCCTATGGCTCTCAAGGGTCACCACCTCCAATATACACTCCTTGTTTGTGGCCAGCTTAAGTTTCAGAAGTTACAGAATATTGTGAACAATCAAGTAATCTCCCAAATAACTGGCAATCAGAGCTGGAAAAGAGTGCAGAAAGTGGCAACAATGCACTCAAGAGACAAGATGTAGTCTCATTTAATCAGTAGGACTTCCCTTATGTGTAGAGTTCAGGTAGTCCTCAATTTATGACTGTAATTGAGGGTGTAAAGCAAGTCACTCTGTGACAATGGATTTTCTTTGCAGTGGTTGTTAAAAGCCACGGTCATTAAATGAACCCACTGTTTGTAATGAGGCGGGTTTTTCTGGAAATCAGAAGTCCATGCTGGTTCCCGGGAAAAACATAAATCAATAACATGACCCCAAGGTGGTGCAAATGGCCCTAAATGTGGGTCAATTGCCAAGTGCCCAAAATGCGGTCACATGACCATAGGGGATAAAGGCGGATGTTGGGACTTCACATCTGGGTCGCGCAAGTCCCTTTATTGGGGTCTGTCATAACATTAAATGACTGGTCATAAGTTGAGGACTACCTGTAGATGCTTGGAAACACAAGCAAGAAGATTCATTTGTGCCTGTATTTTCCTTAGCATCGGGCTGACTATTATGGGACATTGACGCTAGGCTATATGGAACCTGAACTGATCCATCAGGATTGCTCTTATACTATATTCTGAGAACAGAAGAAGCTTCTTGGATGAGAAGCAAAAATGTTTTCAAAGGAAAAACCAAGGAAGTCCAATTGTCTTTGGGACAGCCATGACCTGGATGATTGAGAATCTCCACAGATATGTTCTTAGAACAAAGATTATGAGTACAGGTTGCTGTGATCTTTATATATTTCCAGAGGCATCTGTTTGGTTGATGCTAGTAGAACACAATCTCAAGAATTGTATGATGGGATGAGCTTTAGGCTCATCACCGCAGTGTTAAGAGCCAGAAGCAGGAATTCAACTTATATATCAATGGAAAGATAATTTAATCAAGAATGTAATGCAACAAAGCTTGTTCAATGATCTGTACTGTATTCTATGAAAAGTTATAGCCAAAGAACCAGAAAAAGGAAGCACAACTTGCTTAGGTTGATATCAGGTTGCTTTCCTTCATCTGATTGTAGCCAATGAGCATGAGTGTTTAGAGAGCCAATCAGGTGTCATCTTGTTTTGGCAATGATTCAATCAGATCACAGTAGGATTCAGTGACTGATGTCATGTATTGAAGCTGAGAGGAGGAGATTTGTCAGTATGTTATGTGATCGCTATCCAGTTGGTTGGGTTTTTTTGTGTTCTTTCATTTAGTGAGCTTATAAAATGTAATAAAGTTAAAGTAATGGTACAAAGAGTTGACTGGTTGCCCAGAAAGCGATGTAAAATAATAGTATTAAGTGAACAAGGCTACAGTAATAAAGAAATTAGAAGAAAAATTGGTGGAAACTTAACCAAAGGTGGCATTTCTACTGTACACTTTTCCCAAAAGGTTTCCACAATTTTGGCCACTACTGTAGAAATTATAGTCCAACACATCTTAGTGCCACCAAGTTGAAAAGAGTGCTTACAATCAGGTGTAATGGAACTATAATTCAACAGGCAAACCTTTTTTCAAATTAAAGAGGGTAGGTTTATTATGACAATCATAGGGTTATTACGTCACTTGAGGTTTTTCCAGATTGACAGGTAGAGTGTTCCGAACTCAGAAGAAAATACCTCACATTTTGACATTTTGTCCTAAGTTTTGACAATACGCCAAAACATCTTTGTTCCATGGGTTCTGCAGTAAGCATTCTGTTCCCTTACTTTTATCCTGAAAAAGTAAGTAATCTGTGCAGAGTACTATCTATCACCCAACCTAAAAAAAATAATCTTCTAAACCAGGGGTGTCAAACTGCCGGCCTGCAGGCCGGATGCGTCATGGCGAAACCGCGCCCATCCCATTGCTGACAATGGGAAAAAAACTCACGATACGTCGTGACGCGTCATGTGATGTTGCAAGTTTGACACCCCGGTGTTAAACCAATTTTTCTCTAAATTAGGTAACTGGAAGTACTCAGAATAGACTATCACTCTAACTTCTTCTTTGACCCCAGGGCAGAAAAAGAATTTTAAATCCCCATTATCCTGGAGAGCTAGGATTTAGTGCACTGAGATGGTTGGATGCTTGGGGAAATGCAATAAGATGGGGATCACTCACATCCTTCTCCAGGCGGAGGTCATCAGCAATCTGTGAAATCTCCTGCAGGTTGGGTTTGGGGCAGCGCAGAAAGTACGACTCGAGTGAACCCCGCACGTTGTTCTCAATGCTGGTGCGCTTGCGTTTCCGGGCCTGGATCATGGCCGACTCCATGGAGCACAGCTGCTGCACAGAGGAGGAGAGCTGTATTTGGTGCCACTGCTTGGCGATCACCACCCCTTCTGACCCACCCAATAGAGTGCCTTCTTCACCTCCGTTTAAAAGAGAGGGAGCAAAAAAATAAAAAGGGCTAAATATACAGATTCTTGTAAGGCAGAGGTCCCCAACCCCTGGTCCGTGGACCGGTACCGGGCCGCAGCATGCCAGCAACCAGTCTGCACAAACGAGAAAAGCCTCATCTACACAGGATGCAGGCAGCACACAAAACCATGCACTCTCCTGTCCGTGGAAAAATCTCTCTCCATGGAACCGGTCCCTGGTGCCCAAAAGGTTCATGAAATGCTTCAGATGTCATAAATGAAGGGAATATTGCAGGATCCAATCTGGGTTGTTCACTGGGACCAGAGGTTTGTTCTTCTGAGCTTTCGGATTCATGCTGCAGCCCATCTTCAAGGAACTTCTCTGTGTCACGTAGAGGTGACCGACCCAGATTGGATCGCGCTTCAGATGTCTCCAGGATCTGCTACTTACAAGAGTGAGCAACCTATGCTGGGATAAGTCCCATTCCAACAGTCTAAACGTTCTTCCTTGGTATCCTTTGGTCTTTTTTTTAATTCTCCCTCTCTCTATCCTTGTCACTTCTGCCTAGAAGTAATGTTCAACTTACGATCACAATTGAATTTCAACGTTTTTGTGGCTAAGCAGCACGGTTGTTGAGTCGCACTGGATTTTACATCTTTTTTTGCCAGGGTTGTTAAGCAAATCACTGCCGAGGTTAAACGAATCACATGATCATTAAGTGAATCTGGCTTCCCCTATTAACTTTTGCTTTCAGAAGTCAGTTGGGAAGGTTGCGAGTGGCGATCACATGACCCAAAGATGTGGCAACCATCGTAAATGCTTGATGATTGCCAGGGCCTGAATTTTGATCATGTGACCATGGGGAGGCTGAGATGGTTGTAAGTCACTTTTTCCAATGCTGTTGTAACTTCGAATGTTTACTAAACTAATGGCTATAAATCAAGGACTACCTGCCCTACCACCCTAACATTATTCCATTCCTCCATTCAAACCTGCTGCCCTCTCCCCCATTTTGTAAAGCCCTCCCTTTGACCCATTTTTCAATGAGCGACAGATCCAAACAGGATATTTCTTTTATCCCCAAACCTAGGAAGCTTTCTAGTCACCAATTTTCTCTACCATCTCCAACTCTGCGTCCCCTCCTTCCAAAATCTGCACACATTTTCTTTCCCATGTCAGGATAAAAGAGCATCTCTGCTAGATTAAGTCAATGGACTATCTAGATCAGGGGTGTCAAACTGCTGGCCCATGGGCCGGATGCATCATAGCGAAACCGCGCCCACCCCATTGCCGGCAATGGAAAAAACAGTTGTGATACGTCGTGACACATCACGTGACGTTGTGAGTTTGACACCCCTGATCTAGATGAAAATTCTGCCTCACAGAATGGCCAACCAAGATGCACTTAGAAAGCTCAACAGCCCAGAGCAGAGACTGATTGCTTCTTCTACTGTTAATCTCAACCAGCTGTTACCTATGATTCACGAAGAGTAAACAACCATAAAGTTTAGGACAGGGGTGTTCAAACTTGGCCCCTTTTATGACTTGTGGACTTCAACTCCCAGAATTCCTCAGCCAGCATGCCTAGCTGAGGAATTCTGGGAGTTGAAAGTCCACAAGTCATAAAAGAGGCAAGTTTGAAGACCCTTGGGTTTAGGAGCCATGGATAGCCTGGATCTACTTGAATTTGTCCCATTCAAAATTATCTAAAATGGCAACTATCGCCATGTCTGATGACAATGATTTTCACAATTTAACTCTGGACGGGTGGCTTCTGAATCTCTCTGCAATTCCTTTCTAAAGGATGATCTTTACCCTTTCCTAGCAAAGGAATATCTGTGTCATGTTCACACCTTTTTCCAGTTCTATAATATACTTCTGGAGATGTTGTGACCAGAAGTCAATGCAATATTCAAAGAGTGATCTTTCCATTCATTGTTAAGTTTAATTCTAAATTCCATTCTCAGTGATACCAAGCATAGAATGTCCCCTTTAAAAGCAGCAAACTGTAAGTTAATATGTCATCCACCATGATCTCAAAATCATGGCATCTCAAGTCCCAATATTGGATGTGGAAACTGAATTTTTCGTGCCGGTGTGCCTCATTTTGCATTTACATGTATTGAACTGTATTTGCTTTTCTGAAATCCATTCACCAGCTTGGGAAAATCTTTGTGGGGTTTTCTGTATTCTCATTTAGATTTTACTACCATGAAAATTGTCCGATAGTATCAACCAATGCGGTCTCCTTATCTTACTCTCCACCTGAGCATATAGAAACTATTTAAAAAGCAGTTGATCCATGAAGGACTCTTTTTTGAATATCTAATTTGAAAAGGGTTTGTTTTTAATTCTTCTGTTTTTTTTTTCTAGAAAGCATCTCCCTTTTATCTAATGGCTGTTGAATTTTGATTACAAACTTTACACGAGAGAAATGTCAAAAGCACAAGTATGCTGTCTACTAAATTACCCCATCTACATTTTTGTTGACATCCTAAAAAGAAAGTTAATGAGACAAGACTCTGAGGGGGCCACTTTAGTTCCTTTTCAACAAGATTTCTTCCGAATGTTAAAATGATTTCCTCCTTAATAATTTTTTCAACATTTTATCCAGAATGGACAGAAAGCCCATTTTTAATTAATCCATTACGGTTCTCACTTCATCGCTATCTCAGCTCATCTGATTTCCTTCTTGAAAAAGCTCATTCAAGGATGTTCTAAATCTTCAACAATGAAGATAGAAAGACATTCCTTATTCAATTTCTCTAAAAATTTCTTTTCTCCTCTTTTTAGTATATTTTCAAATCCCATCATTCAGTGTCCTATTTATTTCCCTTTCCACTATATGCAAAAAAAATCAAATTATTGTTCATTGTGTCTTTCTGGGTTGAATTGTTTTGCAACTTTTATGTAATGCTTGCGTTTTGGGGGGGCTATTTCAGGTTTTCATTCATTCCTGCTCAACTCTGCCTTAGAAAAGGTGCAAAATTTTGTTTAGGGAAGAGCCCCTCCCCTTTCTGCTTCTTCCCCCTCCTATTTAGTAATGACATAGCAGAAATGAATAATAGGGTAATAAAAAAATGTGTGTGGATTTTGATGCTGTGGTAGCATAGTTACAGAACATTCAATTGATCGTTACTAAGGAATTAATGAGCACTATTAGAGAGCTTTAAATAGTGACATGAGAGACATTAGATTGCTAATCCCTGCTAAAGAACCATTCAAGTCCCAGTGAATGGATGGATGACTATATCCACAGAAGCATTGAATGAAGGAAGCTGATCTACATAACCAAACTGTATCTTTGTTGAGCTATATAGCATAAATTCATCCAATTTCCTTTGCTACTGCAGCCAAAATTCGAGTTTTGCAACTTTTTCATTAGCCTGCTCTTCCCATGCTTAGAACATAGAATCATAGGGCTGGGAGGGACCTCAGAGGTCTTCTAGTCCAATCCCCTGGCTCAAGGCAGGAGACCTTATACCAGGGGTAGGCAACCTCGGCTCTTTTATAACTCATGGACTTCAACTCCCAGAATTCCTGAGTCAGCAGCTGACTCAGGAATTCTGGGAGTTGAAGTCCACGAATCATAAAAGAGCCGAGGTTGCCTACCCCTGCCTTATACCATCCTGGTCAAATGATTGTCCAGTCTATTTTTGAAAACCTCCAGTAATGGAGCACCCACCACAACTCCGAGAGACGAGCTATTCCATCGATGAATTCATTTTATCACTCCAAGTCAAAACCGTACTGCAGGATGTGTAAAAATGTGAGAAAATAGAGAGTGTTCCTGCCTTTTTTGGGGGGGGGGGCAGGGAATCAGTCTCACCGTTCAGGAGATGCTCTGAAAAAAATTCCCAATAAGCAGATCCTTTTGAAATAACAAATTGTTCAGGACATTCTGGACCACCACAATTCTGAAGGATGCTCTTTTTCATTTCAAACACGAAACAAAAACCCTTTAAATTCTACACGCCTTGGGAAAGAGGCAGGCTCACATTTGCCTAGAACAGTGATGGCGAACCTTTTAGAGACCGAGTGCCCAAACTGCAACCCAAAACTCACTTATTTATCGCCGGGTGCCAGGTGGGCGTGGCCCACTGGGTGGGCGTGGCTGTGGTGGTCATGGCAGATTAGGTGGGTGTGGCCAAGGTGTGCGTGGTCACCTCTATGTTACTCATGGAAAGGTACACCTGTG